TGGAGAGAGGATGTCCCTGTTTTCCTAGAATGTGCAAACCCAAGCTGCTCTGAGGTATCAGATAGAGCTTCAGCCTCAGGGGCTCGGCCAGGGAAATACCAATGCTGATACTTTTCACTCTCTTCCTGGCAACTGCTGAGGGGCTGTCCATGGCTATACTGACAGCCCTTGGCCTGCCTGAGGACAGCAGGTTGGAAGACCTGACTCCTGCCTGCCTCTGTGTCCCCTTTTATCCTGTGTCCTTTGGAGCTCCAGTCTCAGGGCTCTACTTGCACGTCCCTGAGTACACCTGCTTACTCTTACTTCAGTAGCCCATATGGCACCAGAGAACTCACCTGCCTTAGAACTTGCATCTTCATCATCCCTTTTTTGCATTCATTCTTAACTCAATTTCTTACTGTTTTATTTTTTTCCCCTAACTTGGAAATTATTAACAGGAGTCAGTTAATGCTCAGAAGGAGTCCAAGGATACATTGGTCTTGCTAAGAAGTTTGACACTGAGCATACCCCATCTTTAGCTTGCATGTGAGCAATTTTCACCTTGGTTGATATGCCACAGATGCCCTGGACATACTGCCCTGTCCTCTGCTCCCACTTTTCAGAGTTCACTGTCTGTGCCTACCGGCAACTCCCTGCCTGACTTCTGGATAGGTCTGTGTCTGCCCACATGCTGACTATCACCCCAGGGTCTAATAATAGCACAAGGCCCACCATACGATAAAATGGATTCATTTGTCTGTTTAATTATTTATACTTTAATTCATAGGAACTGAAGCAGGCTGCTGATGTCAAATAATTCAATGAGCATCAATTTGACATTTGATAAATACAAAATACACATGAGAGCCCACATTCTAGTGAGGGAAAGGCCATAAACAAACAGTAAGTAATTGACAGAGGACACAAGAAGGTGATGAATACTATGGAGTAACATTTATAAGAAGTTGCATTAGGATAAGGATTCTGTAGAATCTTTCCTAAAGGCCTTATAACTTTAAATAGGTTTCACGAGGCCACATTGTGGGAAGGAAATATTAGAATGAAAGCTTAATAATGTAAGGAATTTAAAGGCTTCAATGCTTTCTCCTGGGCTTGGAATGGAACTAATGCGGGTTGGAGAGGAGTGTGCTGGGAGGTAGACAGTGGGAAGGGGTGTGGGATGTGGACCTACCTGGACCATTCTGAATTCTGGCCTCACTCTGGATGGCATGGCTTTGAGCAGAGGAGTGACAAGAATGACATGTGCTAAGGTGACCACTGTGGCCAGTGATATAAGAATGGTGATGACAGCAGAGTGACGAGGGCAATGACAGAATCAGGGAGAACAATTTCCTGGAATACAGGTGGCTTCTACCAGAGTGGTGGCCTTTGAGGTGGTTGGAAGTAATCAGGAGGAAACACCCTTGGCATATTCTGATGAACTGAGAGGAAAAGATGAGACTACAGGTAGCTCAATGAAAATGAAAATGATCCTGTGTTTAAAAGTGAGTTCTTTGAAATATATCAACAAGACCAATAGAGCTTTTGCAGAGAGGGTCATTAATGTGGTACAGATTTGGCTCTGGACCCTAAGGGTGGCTGAAGCAGGAACTCTGTGCATAGAGGAATGGGGAGGAGAAATTGCACTGTTTCTGAGTTCCACAGGTCTCCAGACGCAGAGAACAGGTTCTGCTTTTCCCACTGGCAGTTCCTGACCCAGGGACCAGGAGAAGTACCTGGGATATTGTCTAAAAACTTCAAGGGACATCCTTCCCTACATGCCACTTCCTAGAGACACTCTAGGTTTACTGTCTAACCTGAAGAGAGACACAGAGTTTGCATAATCATGAGTCCGGATGTTAGGAGAAAACTGAAATGAAGGGTGCAATCACATGACAGCTGTGCTAGCCAGCTGACCTGGAAGTTTTACCAGGCAGATGGCACTCATGTTGGCATCTCTACCTTCCTGACTGCTGCTGGGCTTGGGTCACCCTTGAGCAGTGCTGGGGTCATTTCCCATACATGGGACTTGGCTCCTCTGCACTTACCATGTTCTTAGGCCATCATGGTGGCAGCTGCTTTGACATTAATGTGTAGCCCTACTGTGGACATGAGCTCACAACCCCATGGCAGAATGCATGTTCCACTGGTCCCTCTTCTGTAAGCCCTTGGTGTTTCTCAGCATTGGTTGGATACCAATGGGAATAAGAGATAGAGAACCCCACAGCCATGGATAGCTCATAGCTTCAGTCATAAACAGGGGTGGATATTATCAAATCATATAAACCCCTGGTTTTAATAGTCATTGGAGCCTGGTCAGACCAAAGCCACTGTAGCCAGGGGCTACCAGCATTTAGCCTTTGAATGATATTTAGTATCTGTTCCTTTGGCTGGATTATACTTGCCATCCCCCTCACAGCCTTTTGGCTCATTAGTTGCTTTTCGTGGATAGTTGGGGTAGTAGGCAGATCTGTAGGCATAGATTTATCTCCATACAGCTTTTATTGTGCCCTACCCTTTCTTTTGCAGGCTAGGGGAAGTTTTATATGTTGTTGCATATCCCAGATCTTTTATTATCAAACCATTACTATTGTATTAGTTTCCCAGGGCTGTTGTAACAAATGATCACAAACTGGATGGCTTACAGCAATAGGATATTATTCTCTCACAGTTTAGAAGTCTAAAAGTCCAAAATCAAGATGGTGACAGACTTAGTATCTTCAGGAGACATTAAGGGATCATATGTTCTATGCCTCTCTCCTAGTTTCTAGTAGTTTCTAACAATTCTTGACATTCCTTGGCTTGTAGCTGCATTACTCACATCTCTGCCTCTATTGTCCCATGGCTTTCTTCCCTGTGTGTCTGACTGTTACAGATAAGTCACTTGATTTAGTACCCTACAGATCTTTGAATCTATGACCATTGAATCTATGAATTTAGGGTACTATTTTGTTACAAGAGTTGCAACCCTCTTTGGTAAGGTCTGTGCTTACCAAAAAATAAATAAAATAAAATACTGTGGAAAGTAATGCCAATGGCCGAGAAAAAAGGACTGAAGCCTAATGATAACCCTTTTTTCTCCACATGTCCAATCTAATAATCAATCTTTTCTCTGTTATCTTGCCCAGTTCTCACTCTCATCTACTTGTATTTCCTCCAGCAACTTTTTCTATATTCTTCCATCACTCCCTGAGCCCTCATCATTGGAAAGAGACTGTCACTTTGACATTATTTGAAAAATGTCACATATCCATGACCCTTCACGCTCTTGTGATGCCAAAGAGCTAGCAATTCTTCGCATTCCAGCCACACTAACATTTTAAAACTTCAGAAGATGCTATGATGCTATGTCCTCCATCAACAGTGCATTCATGTATGCCATTCTTTCTACCTAAAATAGTTTGTTTTTTTCTCATTCAATTTCTGCTTCTGACAGCATTCATCTTTCAGTCCACCTCTCACTCATTCAAGGAGGATATCTTGGAAAGTCCCCTATGAAAAACTATTTCTCAAAAACATATATGGTATGTAGTGTTTACGGTAGTGTTTATCACACCTGCCAATTTACTCTTTTATGGATGATTATTTAATTAGCTTCTTTGTGTTTTAGCTGACTATTAATTTTATTATGGCTAATAATACTATCTGTTTGTACTCAACTTGGATTTTTTAATCCATTTCCTGGATTTTAATGACTGAAGATAATCTATTTTCAGTGAGAATTTACTGAATGAATAAATCAATAATTGGCATTCAATTAGTGCATGTGGATTTGAAACAGAATAGAACTTCATCTCTCCAAAATGTGATGTCTTCTTATATATTGAGAATTCTCTCCCATGACTACCAGCCATCTCATTGGTATTTCTGTTCCTCAGCTATCTTGCATGCATATCCATCTTTGTGTCCTACAAATGAGCACAATTAGGTTCCTATCAACATTTTTGACATATTTCCCAGCCATGATACAATCCCACCATCTACAAACACAAGACCCCTCCTCATCTTCCAGCTTGCCCGAATTCCTCCATTCCTACACTCTCATAGCACTGGGTACCAATCTACTTCTTTCAGGCTTTACGTATGCTTGTCTTAGTTTAAATATGTGAGGTTGCACCCAACATAGATTGGATATTATGTTCACTCCAATTCTGCCTATTGAGTTCAATAATCTTTGTAAGTCACTTAATTTTATATATCCATCTAAAGAGAGGGAATATTATTATTTCTCAAGAATTCTGGAGGAGGAACAAATAGGTCAAAGTAATTTGTAAGTTATAGTTGGTTATGAAATTGTTAGTGATAAAATTATCCCCATATTGTGGCCATGGCTGATTTTGTTGGTATCTCTGGGAAGTGTGTGAGATCATACAAGGACTCTATGTGGCCAGGTATGTTAAAAGGTAAACTCTTTTTCACTGGAAAACATACCTATGGTCCCAAAGCTCAGCTGTTGGAGAATTTCTACATGAGAGAAAGAAATAGTGAAATACTGATAAGACAAGTCTAATCATCTATGAAAAGATGGGGAGGTTCTTTATATATTCATCAAACATTATGTTCCTGTTGTTCTAGACACTTGGAATGCAGCAGTGAAAAAAAAGTGCGTAATCTATGTATGAATTATATTTGAGGAGAGGAAAAGTAGATGTCTCTAAAGATAGATACCATGTATCCTGTGGTGATGACAATACAGATGACAAATGTACAGTTAGTGATGATTTTGTGGTTGTGCTGTCGATAAGCTAGTCAGAGCAGGCCCTTCTGCTGAGGAGAATGTGAGGAGTCCGTTGAATGAGGTATAAATGAAAGTCATTCAAATACCAACAGGAGGATCATAACAGACTGAGCAGGGAGCAACTGCAAAAGCCCTAAGGCATTAATGGCTTACGTAGGCCAATGAATTCTATTTCTTCTTTTTTGACCTCCAGTGGTTATTGCCTTGCCCATTCCTTGATGTGAGCCAGCTAGAAACCTTTTATTTGTATCATTCTTATACCATCCCCTTTCAATCTGTCCAGCCATCCAGGAGTCTTTAAGCAAGAGCCTCAGGAGTTCCGGCAGGAAGAAGCCAGGGAAACAGTGCAATCGATGGCTTCAACAATCCTGTCGAAGGTGCAGAAGGAGGATATCTGTCCTGTCTGCCTGCAGCTTTTGACAGAACCCTTGAGTCTAGGCTGTGGCCACAGCTTATGCCAAGCCTGTGTCACTGTGAACCATGAGGAGGCAGTGATTGGCCCAGGAGCGACAAGCAGCTGTCCTGTGTGTGATATCAGATACTCAGCTGGGAACCTACAGGCTGATTGGCATCTGGCCAACATAGTGGAGAGACTCAGGGATGTCGATTTGAGGCCAGACTATGGGAAGAAGAGAGATCTCTGTGACCGCCATGGAGAGAAACTCGTACTCTTCTGTAAGGAGGATGGGAAGGTCATTTGCTGGGTTTGTGAGCGATCTCAGGAGCACCGTGGTCACCACACATTCCTCATGGAAGAGCTAGTCAACGAATGTCAGGTAGGGCCCTGGATGGAAAGAGACAGGGCAGCAAATGGCACTTGGTGGGAAATCTCACCTTTCTGTCCTTCTTTACTCCCCTTGACACCATAGTCTTTCGGTCTGTGATCTTGTTCCATGCACATCTTTTACCCTATGCTAAGCTTCCAATGCCTGGGGTACATGTCTGTGTATTCCTTCCATTTGCATAAAGAATGAGCCTAGTACAAACAGTCTGTTGGCCAAGAGTAGGCGGTGCCTTGGGTTTTTCTCTGCTTTCCTTGTATGGCTGGTGAATTCTTTCCCAGAGTGAGCTCTCACTGCTCCTCTCAGCAGGATGATTCTGGGGAAACAGTGGAACTGAATGAGGAAAGGGCATTGATAACAGGGAAGTAAGTACTTTCCTTTTGACAGGTAAGTACTTACTGTAAAGGAAGAGAGAATCAGGCTACTCTTGGATTAGGGAATGGTGCCTTCTGTCACCCAGAAATGAAGAATAGATTCAACTGCTCAGATTCTCAGATTTTTTTTCCATGTCATACATTCTAATAAATAGTCTCACAGTTTCTGTAAACTGGCCTTTTCTGGGACCAACTTGTTTGTTCTTTACCCAGGTGCTGAGAAAGCTCATAGCTTAACTCAGGTGTGATTCTTTACCCAGGTGCTGAGAAAGCTCATGGCTTAACTCAGGTGTGATTCTTTTCTCCCAGGAGAAGCTCCAAGCAGTCCTCAAGAGGCTGCTTAACTCAGGTGTGATTCTTTTCTCCCAGGAGAAGCTCCAAGCAGTCCTCAAGAGGCTAAGGAAGGAGCAGCAGGAAGCTGAGAAGTTGGAAGCTGACATCAGAGAAGAGAAAACTTCCTGGAAGGCAGGAGGGAACTCCTTCTGAGGATTTCTGAGACAGGAATCTTGGCAGGACCCTTGGTCCTAATCCAGGGAGGCCTTCTATTTGGTCCCTGACAGTGATGAGTCCTGAAGCCATTTCATTAGTTTTCTTCTTTGTCCTATCCCTGTCGGGGCTGGGGGCTGGAAAGTGGGCATATTATAAACACATAGACACCTGGAATTGAGGAGGAGGATGAACTCAATGGTGGGGAAGGTGCAGAACACTGCTCCATTTCTCTTTTCCAATCAAGCACTAATACTTTTGGTAGAAGACACTGAACAAAGGATCAGGGTTTTCCTCAAGGTTCCAATTGAGAGTGTGGTAATGCAGAAAGTCATGAGTGGCCAGGACAGCTGTCTACAAAGTAAGCCTCATTTTGTCTCAAGGTTGGCCTAGAATAGACAGTCTAAGGTCATTGTTCTAGTAGGCACTGAAAGGAAAATAATAGGAAAAAACCAGCTTCCCCCAAATTACTCTCATCCTTCTACTTCCCACCTGGTTTAAAATCCACGGAAAATATTTATTTTCCTGGCTCCTAATTCCTTTCACAGGCCCTCGGCCTAGCAGACTCATTGCCTGTCTCCCTTGTCCACCCTGGCAGTATCGGGTACAGACTGAGAGACAAAGGATACAAGCAGCATTTAATCATCTTAGAAGCATCCTCAACATTGAGGAGCAGAGAGAGCTGCAAAGATTGAAAGAAGAGGAGAAGATGACACTGGACCACTTGGCAGAGTCTGAGGATGAGGTAGTTCAGCAGAGAGAGCTGGTGAAAGAGCTCATCTCAGAACTGGAGCGTCGGGGTCAGTGGTCATCAGTGGAGCTGCTGCAGGTGAGAAGAATCGCCCAACCGGAGACTCTGGAACCACTGTCTGTTTCCTTTTCTTTTGTGTCCTTGGGCTCTTATCCAGGTGGTGACACTAAGAGGTTGCTTTGGCCTTGCAGTGCCCTTCTTTGTCATCATTCCAGAGGTCATGGGGTGACTGAATATACCCATTCTAGGAGTGTATCCAACTGTCTGTAATTAATGAAGTAAGGGAGCACATTTGACCTTGAAGAGAAGAGCCATAGTAACCAGTTGTGGTCTCTGGGCGTTGCTATCTGTGATCTAGTGTTGGACATTTGTCAGTCTTCTTTTTACTTACATTGGTCACAGGCAAACATGCATTTTCAGGTTTAAGACGTGTTCTTTTTTTAAAATTAAAATATGCATATTTGTTATTGCCAATATCTCATTAATTTTTTAAAATGTCTGATTACATAATACAGAATCTTACTGGGGTAGAGTTGGGCAAATATGTAGACAGGCACACACAAACTTGAGTGGGATATATGTGTGTGTGTGTGTGTGTGTGTGTGTGTGTGTTTATACCAACTAGGACAGAATACTGGTGTAAATCTATAGCGACTTGATGGAATCACTTGAGCTAAGGTTAACATTTATATAATTTTTTTTCTACAAAGTACTTTTTCCTTGACTTTTTGTTTATCTGCTTACCCCACTAGTTTTTCTTGTTGTTGTTGTTTTATTACCACATGTTTTTTTTAAAAATTCTGGTACCAAGCATAGGGACAATTGATTTTCATTTGTTGGATCATTTCCTTTGTCTTTGGTGCATACATTTCAGCTTCTTTGTATTCCTCTTGACTTTTGTCTTCTTCTTTTTTATTATTTCAGATTACTTTGGAACAGGGGTTCCTAAACCTTTTTTTCTTGTGTTAGAATTAGCTACAGTGCTAATAAAGACCTTGCATACTCAGGCTCATTGTAGTAAGACAGGGCCTGCCCCTGATTATTTTCACCAGGTTCTCCAAAAATAATACACAAAACAAATTTGAGTAAAAAACTGCAATAGGTCCTTTGAACAACTTAGGCTGGGTCAACTGGATATCTGCATGCAAGAGAATAAAGTTGAACCCCTACCTCACACTACATACAAAAATTAACTCAGTGTAGAGCAAACACTTTAATATGAGGGCAAAAATTATAAAACTGTTAGAAGAAAACATAGATATAAGTTTTAATAGCTTTAGATTAAGTAATAGTTCATAGATATGACACCAAAATCTGAGGTAATCAAAGAAAAAGTAGATAAGTTGGATTTCCTCAAAATTAAAATATTTTGTGCTACAAAGGACACCAGGAAGAAAGTGAACAAGTAGTCCGCAGAGTGGAAAAAAAATATTTAAATCATATATGTGATTAGGTTTAGTATACAGTTTATCTATTTAGCTCTTACAACTCAAAAATAACAGACAAGCAACCCAATTTCAAAATAGATAAAGAACTTGAGTAAACATTTCTCCACGGAAGGTATACAAATGGTCAATAAGCACATGAAATGATGCTCAACATCATTAATCATTCGGGAAATACAGACTCCAAATCACAATGAAATACCTCTTCACCCCTATTAGGATGGATATAATCAAAACAATGACACTACTAAGTGTTGGGGAAGATGTGAAGAGATTGAAACCTTCATGAATTGCTGGTAGAGATGTAAAATACTCAAGCTTCTTTGGAAAACTGGTTGGCAGTTGGTCAAAAACTTAAAGACAGAGTTCCCCTGTTTCCAGACAATTCCATTCCTACATATATACTATATACCTAGGAGAATTGAAAACATATATCCACATATAAACTTATATGCAGAAGTTCATAGCAGCATTTTTCATAATGTCACAAAAAGGAAAACAACTCAAATCTCCTTACGTGATAAATGGCTAAGCAAAATGTGTTATATCCAAATGATGGAGTATTATTTAGCTACAAAGAGGAATGAAACAATAATACATGTTACACCATGGATGAACCTTGAAAACATAACGTTAATTGAAAGAAGCAGACACAGTTTTGAGTTATTTTTGAGGATTTTTTTGTATGATTCCATTTATATGAAAGTCTTTAAATGGAAAATCCATAGAGACAGAGATTATATACTCGTTACCACGGATCTGGGGAAGGATAAATAGGAAGTGATTGCTTATGAGTGCACAGTTTCTTTTCGGAATGACAAATAGTGTTGATGTTTGCACAACCTTGTAGATATATTAAAACCTACTAAATTGTGCACTGTAAAAGGTGAATTTTATGGCATTTGAATTATATCTCAATAAAAACAAAGACCCCTTTTTATAGCTCCTCCCTAAGCTCTTCACAGCTCTTTCAATTGCAATCTTCATGAAAGAGCTACTTTATGTCACTTGTTCAGGCATCTGTTCTATTTAATTCAGGTGGAGTTGTTATTTAGTCAATTGCAATAAAAACAATTTTAATAGATCAAAAATTGTAAAATTTGTGGAATTAACATTCCACATATAGATGTTAGCCTCCAAGAAGGGCTAATGGACAATCAAGAAACTTATTCTTTTACCTCATTAGGAATTTGCCATGATCAGAGACAAGATATGATTCCACACAGAAAGTTTAAAATCAACAGCACCTATGTGTGAGCTAAAATTAAGATTGGAAAGGGTCACATATAGGTAGTGGGTAGAGCAGGGCTTTTCTATACAAAAGATCATATCATTTGTGAATAGAGACAGGTTTACTTCTTTCTTTCCAAAATAGATGCCTGTTTTTCTTTTCTGTGAGTAACGGTCCTGGCTAGAGCCTCCAGTACCATGTTAAACAAAAGTAGTAGTGAGAGCAGACATCCTTGCCTTTTTCCTGAACTTAGGAAAAAAGCATTCAGTTTTTCACCATGAAATATGGTGTTAGCTGTGGGTTTTTCATAGATGCCCTTTATCAGACTGAGGAAGCTCCCTTCCATTCTTAGTTTGTTGCTATTCTACTTTTGTTTTTATTATGAAAGTGTGTTGAATTTTGTCAAATGCTTTTTATCATGTTTATTATATCATCATGTGGTTTTTATCTTTTATTTTATTAAAATCATGTATTACATTGATTGATTTTCCTGCAGTTCTAGGATAAATTCTACTTGGCTATGATGTATAATCTTTTTATATTTTTCTGGCTTTGATTTTCTGATACTTTGTTGAATTTTGTGTCTATATTTATAAAGGATATTGGCACAGTTTTCTTTTCTTGTGATGTCTCTGGATTTATTATCAGGGCTGGATCAGCCTCATGTATGAGTTAGGAAGTGTTCCTCCGTCTTCTACTTTTTTTTTTCATGAATTTGTGAAGTATTGGAATTATTTGTTTTTAAACCTTTAGCAGAGTACACCAATGAAGCCATATGCATCTAGCCTTTTCTTTGCGTGAACTCTTTGATTTTCAGTTCAATCTCTTTACATGTCTTAAGTCTATTCATATTTTCTATGAATAAGTTTTCCATATTTTTTAATTAGTACTGGTAGTTTCTGTATTTCTAGAAATTCATCTGTTTCATTTAGATTATCTAATTTATTGGTATACAATTGTTCATAATCTTTATAATTCTTTTAAGTTCTGTAAGGTCTGTGGTAATGTCCCATCTTTCATTCCTGATTGTTTTTCTTGGTGTGTAAAGCTAAAGGTTTGTCAATTTTGTTGATATTTTCATGTAACACATTTTTTATTTCTCTGATTTCTCTATTGTTTTTCTATCTTTCTTTCATTAATCTTGCTCCAATCTTCATACATTTTGATTCTTCTTCTCTTTCTTCTTCCTAGGACAGGAGTGGAATCATGAAATGGTATGTATGGGTGGCCAGAAACAATGCTTTTGTGTTAGGAAAAAAGGTTTGTAGCCATTAGAATTATTTGGTGATCAATCAGAATAAAAAATCTCCCAGAGTAGGGAAATTTGGATGTTATATTTTCCTAAATTGCTGGTCACAGATGAGGATTTGAGTGCTCCATATTGAGAATGGATCAGATTCTACAGTAGTAAATCTTGAAGTTCAGAAAGGATATTAATGATAAGAAGTTTTACTATCAGACTCCTGGGGCTTCACTCATTTACTTGACCTGTCTGCATACAGCTCTGGATCTTTCATGTCATAGGTGCTTTCATATTAGAGGGGGGGCCTTATCAAGTCCTAAAATAGGACATGGGGACAACTCCTTTATATTTACTTTACTTACATTGGAATAAAAGAGACTTGATCATTCTACAATGTTCTCTTTGGATTTCCAAAAGCAGACCCAAGCCTCAGGGCTTTGACTCTGCTGCCAATAAATAATCTCTTCCTGTTCACACACTTTCAAAGCTCATATGGAAAAGTATAGCCCTTGTGTCTACAGTTGTCAACCCACCTGGCAGCATCAAAGTCCTTACAAACATATGAAATGCTAACCATTTTTAGTTTAGTGGTTATAACTTCTCCTTTGCTAAGTGTTTATAACTTTTTCCCGGAGAAGCTGAAATCTCTAATGTGGGTGACACCCCTGGAATTCAGGCTTTGGTCTAGGGCACAGGTTCATAGACTTTTCATACCTACACCACCACAGTCACAATCTGCAGCTTCACTCTTGATGTGCCTGGAAACCCACATCTCTGGCCCTTCCCTGGATGATGCACTGAAATGCAGAGTTTTCCCCACATCATATGCCATTCTTAGAGGTCACAGAGGCTTTTCCTAGGCATTATTTCCATGAGGTATCAAAGGAGGGCTTAATTGTTCCACTTTTAGACAAAGGAACTGTACTTTCACAAGGTGAAGACATTCTCAAGCTCACACAGAGAGTAAATGGGAAGGTAGACATGAACACATTTCTGTTAGATCTGGGGTCAGGGCTCTCTCCATTCTTTCCTCCTCAGATTCTTCAGGAAAGAGGGTCCAAGTACCTCAACGATGTGGAAGGAGAGAAAGCTAGTGATGCTGGAGGGATGGACACAGGATGAGAGATGTGGGGGGTCACAATTTGTTTCATCCTTAGGAGTGAGGTCTGGATGCTGAAAAAGCCAAAAGCTGTTTCCAAGAAACTGAAGACTGTATTCCGTACTCCGGATCTAAGTAGGATGCTGCAAGTGTTTAGAGGTGAGGAGAGAAGAGGAGGAGTGTGGATGTGGGATTCCCATAGCGTCAGTGAGTAAATTGCATAGCTGATACAGCTTAGACATGAGACTACAAGAGAGGGGGAGATCAGAGAAGGGATCTTCTGTAATGAAGAGGATGTGCTTATTATATCTAAGAGAGAATGGCTGAGTATCTGGTTCATTCATTCACCAGTTCACAGCTTCATAGTACTCCTCTCCTCTGCCCACACTCTAGAGAAGAGATAGGTACAAGTGCTTACTCCTTTGTTTCTAATCAACATTATTGCATCTTTTATTATTTCAGAGCTAACTGATGTCCGATGCTACTGGGGTAAGAAGAAGTTACAGGATCTTTAAATTGCTGTGTTCTTATCACTTTTGACAACTTTATGGTTTCAGTGAAATCTTATGATCTTAGCTTTATATGTTCTCTGCACCTCTCAACACATATGCATAATACATTTTTCACAACATCACTATATAACCCTAGTCCATGCCTGTCACCTGATCTTATATAATTTTTTTTTTTTTTTCTGCAGTGGACATCACACTGAATCCAGTCAACCTAAATTTGAATCTTATCCTTTCAGAAGATCACAGACAACTTTCATCTGTGCCAATTTGGCCTGTTAAGTTTTATAATTATGGTATCCTGGGATCCCAATATTTCTACTCCGGGAAACATTACTGGGAAATAGATGTGTCCAAGAAGACTGCTTGGATCCTGGGGGTATACTGTAGAACACGCTCCCGCAACATGAAGTCTGTTGTTAGAAAAGGCACAAATCATAAAAATGTTTACTCTAGATACAGACCTATATTTGGCTACTGGGTTATAGGGTTACAGAATAAATTTAAGTACAGTGCATTTGAGGACTCTTCCTCCTCTGATCCTGAGCTTTTGACTCTCTCCATGGCTGTGCCTCCCCATCACGTTGGGGTTTTCCTAGACTATGAGGCAGGTACTGTGTCATTTTTCAATGTCACAAACTATGGGTCACTCATCTACAAGTTCTCTCAGTGTTGCTTTTCTCAGCCTGCTTACCCATATTTCAATCCTTGGAACTGCCGGGCCCCCATGACTCTGTGCCCACCGAGCTCCTGAGTTTCTCATTCCTCCACCTACCCCATTTTTTTTCCTTTTATTTCATCATATTATGGAGGTACAAATATTGTTAGGTTTACAAATATTGCCCCTGCCCCTCCTCCCTCCCCCCGATGTGTCCAATCCCTCAGTGGTGTGCACCACACTTGTTATAAAAGCATATACCCTTTTCCTCCTCCCCCCTCCTGCCTGCCCACCACCTGATACAAAGTATTTTTTTATTTTTATTTTGACATTTTGGTTACATTGTATATCTGTGGCTCTCCCTAAGAAGGGTTAGAGTTATGCTCTTCCCCTCTGAAGTGCTTGCCACATAGCTCAGATTGGGTCCCCCCACCCCAAATCCCTGGTGAGCATTGCCACCATTTGAAAACCATAGTTTTAATCAGTCAGTACCAATTTGATGCCGAGTAGATGTGGGGTCCATTTTCCATGTCTTGTGTCGCCTCACTTTGGATAACGGGCTTAAGCTTAATCCAGGATAGCATAAACAGTGGTAGCTCACAGTCATTCCTTAGGATTGAGTAATATTCCATTGTGAGGATATACCACATTTTAATTATCCACTCATGAATTGACGGGCACTTGGGTTGTTTCCATGACCTTGCAATAGTTTGAGGCTCATTTCTTGCAACTGAGCTCATCTACACCATTCAGATCATTTCCTCCTTGCAGTCTTCCTTTTTTACTTTAGAACTTTTATTCTTCCTTGGGATGTTATGGTGTATTTGGTTTGAGTTAATAGAGATGCTCATTATATCATTTATTCTTTTCTATATTTCCAAAGAATATATACTCTTTATTTCCTTTGAGCATAAACAGAGAAGAGAGATTGCTGGATCATATGATAGTTTTATTTTTTTTAATTTCTTTTAAGAACTTCCATGCTGTCTTCCACATAGGCTAAAAAAAGACATTTTATCTCTCCTACAGACAAAGCAGTGTTAGTAAAACATCCTTGACCCCCATGTCTCCATATTTCCCTTTATCACTGATCTGAAAAGAATTATTGAAGTCTATTAGCCACCATCCATGTTATCTGTGATAGTCTCCAGGAACCACCAACATGATCACCACCAATATCAAGTAAGGAGTCTGATTGTGTGTCATTTTGTCCAGAATAACCCAGGTTCATCAAGGAGTTGAGAAGAGGAAAACATAAGCAATATATATACCAGTGAAAATGTTATATACAGAATGTTTAAGTTCAAACCCTTGTCTCTTATTGATCTGTGTAATGATGAATAAATTCTCCATTTCTTTTTCCTAAAATACAAATTGGGATTTAAAACTACACCTAACTCTTAAGATCACTGTCGAAAACTAAATGTAAAGTACCAATTTAACTGTCTTGTACATAATAATAAACATTTGCTCTCATGATTATGGAAAAGTGTATGCTCTGTTAATGTCCTGTGTAAGCTTTGTGCCACTTAGAGAAATAACTGTTGATTCTATTAAAGTCTCATTTGTTAAGTTCCCAGACTCCATTGTCAAGACCATGCCAGTTCATTTTGTTTTACAGAACTTTTATATTGAGAATGGGGTTGTTTTTTTTCCTTATTTTTATTATACATATTTAAGGTGTATTACATATTTCAATATACATAGACATAATTAAATGATTACTATAGTCAAGTAAATTAACATTTCCGTCACTTCATATAGTTGCCTTTGTGTGTGTGAGGGGGTGTAGATGCATCTAAAATGTACTCTCTTAACAAATTTTCAGTATATAATACGATATTACCAACCAAGTCCTGATGCTATATATTAAATTTCTAGACATTTATCTGAAGTAACTGCATTTTTGTGCATTTTGATGTATATGTCCCCATTTCACATCCACCAACACACACACTTGGTAACTAGCATCTACTCTCTATTTCTATGTATTCATTTTCTTTTATTCCATATATAAGTGAGATCATACAGTATTTTTCTTTTTCTGTCTGGCTTATTTCATGTAACATAACATCATCTTGATTCAACCATGTCATTATAAATGCAGGGTTTTCTATTTTAAAGGTGAATCAGATTCCTATGTATGTGTGTGTATATATACTATATAATACAACTTCTGTTTCCATTCTTCCGTGGATGGATACTTTGGTAATTTCCATATCTTGGCTATTGTGAAATATGCTGCAGTGAACATGAGAGTACAGATATCTTTTTTTTTTTTATTTTTGCGCATATTATGGGGGTACAGATTTTAAGGTTTCAATAAATACCCATTTCCCCGCTCCCCCCAAAAGTCTGAGTCTCCATCGTGACCATCCCCCAGATGGTGCACATCTCACTCATTATGTATGTCCAATATCCCTCCCCTCCCATCCCCCCCCCTCTCTGATTGTAGTACCTATGTGTCCACTTAGGTGCTACTCAGTTAATACTCAGTTCTCTAGTAGAATCTGTGTGCTTGTTTTCCATTCTTGGATACTTCACTTAGTAGTATGTGTCTCTCTACCAGGAATAGATTATATCACGTGTTACTTGGACAATAGTCTCCATGGTATAATATACCAACTTTTATTAATTCATTTGCATGTATGGCTGGCTCCACAACCTTGCGATTAAGAATGTGCTGCTATAACATTCGAGTGCAGGGTGTCTTTGTTAGAGTGTCATTGGATCATTTGGGTAGATGCCCAGCAATGGGATTGCTGGATCAAATGGTAGATTCACTTGTATCTTTAAGGTATCTCCATATTGCTTTCCACAAAGGTTGAACTAGTTTGCAGTCCCACCAGCAGTGTAGGAGTGTTCCTCTCTCTCGGCAACCACGCCAGCATTTATTGTTTGGAGATTTTTTGATAAAGGCCATTCTACTGGGGTTAAGTGATATCTCATTGTGGTTTTGATTTGTATTTCCCTAATGATTAAAGATGTTGAGCATTTTTTCATATGTTCGTTGCCATTTCTGTCTTCTTTAGAAAAGTTTGTTCAAGTCCTTTGTCCACTTTTTAATGGGGTTATTTGATTTTTTCTTCCTGATTTTCGTGAGTTCTAAGTATATTCTAGTTATCAGTCCCATATCGGATGCATAGGATGCAAAAATTTTCTCCCATTCTGTAGGTTGTCTGTTTACTTTCATGACTATTTCTTTGGCTGTGCAGAAGCTTTGTAGTTTGATCATGTCCCATTTATTTATTTTTGTTGCTGCTGTGATTGCCTTTTGGACTTCTTCATAAACTCTTTGCCTAGGCCAATGTCTAGGAGAGTGTTTCCAACTTTTTCCTCTAGAGTTCTAATAGTTTCATACCTTAGGTTTAAGTCTGTTATCCAGCGTGAGTAGGTTTTTGTGAGAGGTGAAAGGTGTGGGTCCTGTTTTAGCCTTCTACAGGTGGCTATCCAGTTTTCCCAGCACCATTTATTGAAAAGGGATTCTTTTCCCCAGCGTACTTTTTGTCTGCTTTGTCAAAGATTAGATGGCTATATGAGGATGGTTTTATATCAGGATTCTCACATCTGTTCCACTGGTCCATACCCCTATTTTTGTGCCAATACCATATTGAGTTAATTACTGCAGCTTTGTAGTATAGCTTGATATCTGGCATATTAATGCCTCCCATTTTGTTGTTTTTGTTGCCTAGAATTGCTCTTGATATTCAGGGTCTTCTTTGGTTCCATACAAAGCATAAAATTATTATTTCTATATCTGTGAAGAATGCTGATGGGATTTTAATAGGTATTGCATTGAATCTGTAGATCAGTTTGGGTAGTATAGACATTTTGATGATATTGAGTCTGCCAATCCACGAGCATGGAATGGATTTC